TGGATGTTAGCCCAGGGCCAGTCTTCCTCAGCAAAAAAGAGGAGGATTGGCATTGGATGTTAGCTCAGGGCTGGTCCTCCTCACAAAAAAAAAAAAAAAAAAATCCTGTGGATCCAAAGCCTACGTGAGGTTTGGCTGGACCCCAAGTCACCAGCCCCTCCTCGGTGGCCCCACCCTACCCCTACAGACCTGGGAAGCCTAAATTGGCATGACTGCTCGAGGCTCTCCCTGGGCAATATGGATAAAGTGCTTGGCATGCTCTGTGGCATATTAGGACTAGGAAACAAACAAACAGATGCATTCTCAATAGCGTCAACCTCCCACCCTACCAATGCCTCCAACCTCCAGTTTAAAAAGAAAACCACTAGGCAGAAAAGAAGCCACAGAATCCAGAGCCCACTGTGACGATCACCATTCTCCAAGGTGTTATCAGAGGATGGAGCACGTTGAAGAGGAAAAGAAAACTTGAGAAAGAAACTTACACAGCCGTACGCAAATTAGCATTTGGGACTCCTGACTCAGAGGACCAGAAGAGACCCCATGTGGCTCTTTGGGGTTACTTATTTACTTACTGCACGCAGTTCTGAACAGAATTTTATCTTGGTCACTGCTCAGACAGGAGGCTGGCCCAGGGCATCCCACATTTTTCTTCCAGCAGCAGAGTCCTAGACTAGACTGCTCTCCCCAAGCTCTGAGAAAGAAAAGACCTGTGCCTCCCAACAGAATTCCCACTCCTCTAACACCCTTTGACATTCATCTTATTTCATTTCTGAGGATCATTCTCCCAGATGACAGGTGCACCTAGACACACATTCGAGGGTAGCAAACAGCATATTCAACACTCACACACACACACACACAAACTCCACTTTCAAACTGATGACCTTCCTGCGGGCTGACATCTAGCCAAATTTAAAACCATAGAGGAAAAAGAAAGAGAGTGAATCAGAGAGAGGTGCTCATCCAGGCTAGAACAGGGGCACCAGGGTTAAAAGATGCTGTGAGGATTGAAGAGTTCAGGCCTTGGAAATAGAAGGAAACTGCCAGCATTGCACATGCCCACTCCACCACAGGCAGAACCTCTGTTCTTTGCTCCCAGCCCCATTGCCACCACTCTCAGCAAATGCCAGCTAATGGGAGTTCCCAAATTTAATCAAGCCATGTGTACGGCTGGGCCGGTTTGAGAGAGAAAAGTGAGTGGAACCCTTCAGATGTTGCAAGCATCGTGGATGCCCAATGATAACCTGGACACAGGCATTTTCTAAGGCTCTTGAAACCTTCCGCCTTTGACCAACTAGCTTTTGGAAGAAATAATTTCTGCCATCTTCTTTCTGAGTAACTTTGCATCCATCCCACCCCCACAAAACTGCTTCAAACTCCCCCTGAAGTTCTGTTGGAGAGAATGTTACAACAAACCAACGATAACTCCTCCTCCCACCCCTTTCCTCCCGGTCCCACCGAGATTCAAGAGTATTTTCCCACACCACTTGTGTGTGCTGTTCCAGGAATTATTTTTTTTAAGATTTTTACGCGTTTTAGGCCTGCACATCTCCCTGCATCCAAATGATTTGACTGGAAATGAGTAGCTCAATGGGGATTTTTTTTTCATGCATCTTGCCTCCTGACATACATATATCACTGGAAAAACCACAAAATCCAAGGAGCAAAAGGGGCGCTGGGAAGCAGGCCGAGAGAAGAAGAGGTCTGTATTTATAGGCAGCCCCATTCTGCGAGCAAAACCACCTTTTGACCACCTGCAGAATGCGCAAGGTCACGTGGTTTTCTGTGGGTTCTCTGCAGCGCCTTAATGTCTTACCCGGCACACGAGCCCCCGTGGCATATAAACAAATCCACGAGCGGAAAGAAGAGAGAACTCACTCCTTAGAGAAGAAGCGAATGATAATAACAGCCAATAACAGCCGCAAGAATAATAATAAAGAATAACAATTACTACTACTACTACCACCACCCAGCCAAGCGTAGAGGACAGCAGTACAGTAAAGGGCCACCCAGTGCAGGCTTTGCAAGATAAATCACAGAAAACCACATCGCGCCCACCTTGCCACCCCCCCCACCCCCCATACAAACAGAATCAAAGGAAAGGGGACGGCGGGGAGACAGCGGAGGGAAGCAAGGATTGCTTTTTCCCCCGTAGGCAGCACCTACCTCCAGGGTCCGGATTTCTTTTTGTGTGAGGTCGTTGGAGGTAGCACATTTGGTCCTAAGCCCTTCCAGGTTGGAGATGCTCAGGTCTATCATGTTTTGGACCAACTCGCACTGCTGTAAGGCTTTTTGCAAACTCAGAGGCTGCTGCTCCTCGCTTTTCGTCATGTTTTCCTCATCCATCGCTTGCTCTGCAAGCCCCCTTCCCCTCCTCCTCCTCCCAGAGAGAAAAAAGGGGGGGGGGGAGGTAGTCTACCCCCGCCGCCTCTCCAACCACTGCGACTTCTCAACAATGTCTCATGAAGAAGAAACCCAACATCTCACACGGGGTTGAGGGGGTGGGGGTGGGAGGAGGGGACAGGAGCCAAAATTTATTATTTTATTTTGGGGTATCAAGCAGACTCCATTAGAATGTCTCCTCTCTCTGAGTCTCTGGTCCTTGAAAAGGAGAGATGCTGTTTCTCAGAAGGAAACCAGGTGATGTGATGCTGTCTGTACACTTAGGGAGGAGGAGGAGGAAAAAGAGGAGGAGTGGGGGGAGGGAGAAGGGGAGGAGGGAGAGGAGGGGGAGAAGGAAAACAGCGCTCACTCTTTACACACCGGCTCCGTGAAAGACAAAATTATATATTTTTGGCTGGCTTGCTTTTATGTCAAAAAAATTCTGCTTTGCCCCCCTCCCAGTTGCAGTGACACGGCATTGTCCAGCGTTTGGGGGCTTTAGCGCGTTCTCAAGATGCTGTCTGCATTGCTCCCGCGGCTGCGGCGGCGACTGCGGCTGGCTGCTGTCTCCTCCTCGCGCTGCTGCTGCTGCTGCTGCTGCCGCCGCCGGGCTCCGGGGGTGACGGCTGCTGCATTCGCTCCTGCCTCGCTCCACACCGACATCTTGCCTGTCAATCAAGGGGGGGTGGGGGGAGCGAGGGAGCGCCGGCGAGGGATGGCGAGCGAGCGAGCGAGGGACCTGCAGGGGAGCGGGTTGGTGGAGAGGCGCCGTGCGCGCATCCGCCCCAGCCGGGCCCCGGCCCCGGCGCGCCAGGGACCCGCCGGAGGAGGCGGAGGAGGAGCGCGCAGGCTCGCGCACCTGGCCGGGGAAAGGGCCGGCTCCCGGCGGGGGCAGGGGGAGCGGGGGGCGGGATTTCTCGGGATACGGAGCTCGCGTGGCAAAGTGAAATTACTAGCGGGCGTGCGTTCGAGCGAGCGACGGGCGGGCGGGGGCGTGGGGGAAACGCGCGCGGCGGCCGAGGCTGCTCCGGGGCGGTGGAGGTGGCGGGGAGGGTGCCAGAGCGCGGAGGCTGGGCGAGGAGGCGGGGAGAGGGATTTGGTGGCGGGATGGGGGTGGGGGCCACTACTACAGCAGCGCTCTCGCGAGACGAGGCCAAGTACTGCTCAGCAGGTGCGCTCTGGCTGGGAGCAGGTGTGCGCCCAACTTTAAAACCCGTAGTGCGTGCGGGAGAAACATCAGCGTGAGCCTGGGCACGTCCTCTCTGGCTTTCTGGCTCGATGTGCGTGTCTGTCTTTTCGTTCATTTGTCCTTTCTTGTTACTGGTGGAAAATAAAACATACCTGATGATCTTCCATGAGCTGTGGGAAGCGGCCTCGCAGCATTGGTGCCTTGGCCTGCAGTTACCCTGCCGGTGGCTGTCCATTTGGAGGGGGAAAGGGGCTTTGCCTTAATCTGTTATTGTGTCCAACATGTCCTGAAAGATCTGATCCCAGCCTACCTAACCGACCTTATATTAGCAAACTATGGCCCCAGGGCTAAAAATGCTTTTTACATTTTAAAATGATTGGAAAAAAATCAAAAGAAGAGTATTTTCTGACACGTGAAAATTATAAGAAATTCACATTTCAGTGTCCATAAGTAAGTTTTATTGGAACACTGCCACCCTTTCATTTATTGTCTGTGGTTACTTTGCATTATAACAGCAGAATTGAGTAGTTGCAACAGACACTGTATGACTTGCAATGCCTAAAATATTCACTAATCTGGCCCATTACAGATAAGTTTGCCAACCCCTGATTAAATCACCAAACATATCCTTGCCTTGGAGTTCTTTGCACTCTATGTCCACTCTGCTTGGACCACATTTCCCCCTAGCTCTCCTGGTTGGCTCCTTGTCACTCAGGGTCAACTCAAATGTCATCTCAGAGAGGCTTCATCTCTGACCACCTCAATTAATGGTACTCTCAACACACATTGCCCAAAGGATGTATTGAGGATTGTTAGCAAGAGACATCTCTTTCTCCTGGTGAGCAGAGCTCCATGCCAGGGAATTGGGCTTACAGGGCAGAGTAGACTCAGAACACATGGTACAATATGTGCCCCTTAAAAGGAAGCCACTTGAGAGGTATGGAGAATGACAGCCAGTGAAGGCAAACTTTTTTTTTTTTTTTGTGAGGAAGATCAGCCCTGAGCTAACATCTGTGCTAATCTTTCTCTTTTTGCTGAGGAAGACCGGCTCTGAGCTAACATCTATTGCCAATCCTCCTTTTTGTTTTTTCCCCAAAGCCCCAGTAGATAGTTGTATGTCATAGTTGCACATCCTTCTAGTTGCTGTATGTGGGATGCGGCCTCAGCATGGCCAGAGAAGCAGTGCGTCCCTGCACGCCTGGATCCGAACCCGGGCCCCCAGTCGCGGAGCGCGCGCACTCAACCGCTAAGCCACGGGGCCGGCCCCAAAGGCAAACTTTTTTTAAGACTGTGGGCCGTGGGTGTTTTTTGCTTGTACAGAGCTGAATCAGCATTTTCAAAATCTCTCTGTCATGAGGAGCTCAGGAGAGTTCTCTATGTTCTCACGCTTTTGGACTATGAAGTTTATGGATTTCAATTCTCTGGTAAAATTCTCTTTTCATCTATTTTCTCCATCTTTTGCTTTGTTTTTCTTGAACATATTAATCATGGTTATTTTAAAGCCTTTGTCTAATTCTGATACCTCGGTCACCTGTGGGGTCTGTTTCTATTGACTGTTTTTCTCTGTGTTTTCAGTGATGTGGTCCTGTCTCTTGGCAGGTCTTGTAATTGTTGAATGCCAGGCGTTGTGTATGAAAAAATACAGAGTCTCCAGGTGATGTTATCCAGCTCTGGAGAGGGCTCACCCTTTCTCTGCAGGACAGATGGTGTGGGGACTGATCATCTTGATTCTATCAGAGGCTGAGCTGAGTGGAGGCTGGGTTACAGGTCTGATAAGACACCATCTAACTTTGACCCCCATTCCTAAGGCTTTGCCTTTCAGGGATTCCAAATGAGAACTTGGGGTGTTCACCAAAGACCCTCCCCTCTTGTCTTGAGCACTAATCTTTGTCCCCATAACTTGGCAAGACTGCTGAAAACTGCTCTGTTTTTCGGGGACTTTCTGCTTGGCCTCTTGGCCTGCACTATTTCGGAATTCGCCAAATGTTTTAAGGGGAAAACTGCCATCCATCAAGCTCACTTTTCTGCCCCTCCCTTCTCTCTGGGATATTAGCCTCTCAAGTCCCCGATTGTGTCTCCAACCCTGTGAGAGTGCCAAAAGCTCTGCTGGTTTCTCTGTCCCCCAGCAGCAGCCCCCTTAGCTGGGAAAAGTCTAGATTGCATCTGCCCAAATTTGCAAACGTCCCCAGGGAAAAAGCGGCTGCAGACTGTCAGCTCGCCTCAACAGCTTCCTCTCTCTCCAGAATCGTGGCCCCTTCGGTCCTGGTTGCTTCAGCAGCTCTCTGAATGTCATTAAGCACGTGATGATGAAATGATGATGATGATGATTTGATCTGACTTTTCTAGTTGTTTTCAAAGGAAGTGGAAGTTTAAACAGTGAAAATAGCCCAGAGGTCAGAAGTCATCAACTGGCAGAGCTATAAGCACCACACAAATGCGTCTGTTTGACCCCTCCCCTTTTTTCAATTGATTGCTGTAGTGGACATTTGTTATACTTTGCATCCACCTAGCCTCCTTTGAATACCCTTCTATGTTTGGAAAATATCCCACATTATGAGTTCCACCTCTCCATAAGAGAAACTGAAGCACTTTTCCAGAACCTTCCTTGCAACCAGGTCTCATGAGATCTAAGCTCTACCATTCGACACATCACATGAGATTTCTGCTGGAAAGTGAGAAACAAAGGGGAGGAATCTATCTGCTAGTGAGCATAGCAGCCAATGCACCTGTTTCCAGGTGTCCTGCCCCTGTGTAAGCTTCATGTCTGTGCTGAGAGGCATGGCGTGGTGTTCATAGGGGCAGCCCCACAGTGTGGTTTCACATTAGTCCTGGCTGCACAGTCCGAGCCTGGCTCTCTTGTCCTTCTGGAAATTCTATAGGCTTTCTAACCACCTGTCTTAGTCTGCCCAGGCTGCCATAACAAAATACCATAGATGGGTGGCTTAAACAACAGAAACTTATTTTCCCACAGTTGTGGAGGCTGGAAGTCTGAGATCAGGGTGCTGGCATGTTTGGGGTCTGGTGAGAGCTCTCTTCCTGGATTGCAGATGGCGCCTTCCCGCTGTGTCCTCACATGGCAGACGTGACTCATATGGCTTCCTCTTCTTATGAGGCCACAGCGCTATTTGATTAAGGCCTCACCCTTTTGACTTCATCTAACCTTAATTACCTCCTAAAGACTGTAAAGATATATGGGGGGTTAGGGCTTCAACATATGAATTTGGGGGCACACAATTCAGTCCATAGTACCGCCCTATTAAAGCAATTCTGCTTAAACGACCTGGAGTAGATTGTGTCGTTTGCAACAAAGAACCCTGACTAATATTCTTGCCAATAATTCCAAAATCAGGAAATACTACAAAAAAAATGGAGATTTCTGGCCTTTCTGGGAAAATGGGAAGATCTGGCCACGTTGGGCGACTATTGGCTAGATATGAGGCACCTGTCCCTTTCAGATGGGACACAGGCTCTCCAGTTCACCACAGTCCCCACCCAGCCCCCTTCATTCATTATTTGTTTCCTGCCTGGCCCCTGTAGGCATTTGTGTTGCTGCTCCTGGTATAGCTTAAGGTGGTTTGCACCTCAGACCAATAAGAACCTCCCCAATTTCAAGCTTGGAGAACAGGAGCTAACTGATGAGAATTGTGTTGTTGTTTTTATTGTTTTATTTCATCCCAGAAACTGCATATGAGCTCTGAATGATGCGTGTCTCAGAGTGGCTTTATCCATGGCAGAAATAAATTATTGTCACTGGGCTACTGAGTGAGCCGAACTT